GCTGGACTCCTTCATGCTATAGCCACCCACCCTTTTAATTTTAAAGAATTGCTCACATACATTCGGTAGCCTTTCAACCGAAACTCTCTACCAAATTTATAATTATGTTCTTGCTTTAAAACATACATCCACATCGTAATGACGCAAAAACCACTCCATCCACATTTTTTTTAACTTCCGTCCTTAGGCCTTTGGGCATTGAAAGTAACCCCTTGAATTTACAAAAAAGGTGATTTACCTCTATTTTTTTGGGGTTTTTCCTGTTCCCACACGCACATTAGACTGCCCATCTTTGTCCTTCGGCTTCTCGGACACCCCTCCCCCCGCCCCTCTAGCCTTTATGCTGGGACCTTGAAACTATCCCTTTTGTGATAGGTGGCTCAGCCACTTTCGCCCACGATTTCCTCCCCGGGTGCTGTCCTGGTGTCAAGACATCGTCCATATCCGGACGCTCCCGCCGATCGTTTGCGGGGGCTGCCATCCACATGCATCTCCTCGCTAGACGAAGCCTCCTGGTGAACCTCCACCACCACCTCATGCGTCCGTACGAATGTGGTTTTTTTCCTGCATTTCCATGTTAGGGGATTCCTCAGTCGTTAACTCACGACACGCCGTCGAAACAAAAAGGGACCATGTTCTGTTCCATCTAGAAGGTCCCGCAACACATCTTCCACAACTTATCCTGTGGCAAACCTCAGGCCTCACAGGATCCCTGTAAGCGTGGGCACGGTCAATGCATCCCCCGACAAGGCGGCACACATCATAGACTGCGTGTCCTCCTGTTGCATCTCGTCACTCCAAAGCCTGGGAACTTGGCCCAGCTGAGGTACCAGGCTCCAGTTACGAAAGCCTCAGCCCTAGCCACAGGTGAATGTCCCGTGAGTGACAACAAGCGACGGGGCACTGGCAGCCATAAAGCTCAAAAGAGTTGCAAGTCTGCAGTCTTCCTTTGGCCCAGGGGGAATGAAAAAACCCTGGGTCCTATATTTCCAGACGTACGTAAGAGGGAATCGACTGGCAGAGCATCATCTTGATGGTAAGGAGCCCTCCGGGAACCCCCCGTATGGGCCCTTCTCCACACCCCCCTTGGTCGCTGCATGCACCGTTCTGTTTTTGCCAAAAAAAATCCCCGCAGATCGTACTCCGCCTCGAAAGGCACATTTCTCACCTTGACCCAGGTGACATCGTCGGCACGTCATGTAGGCACACTTCCACAGCTGAATTCACCACCTTCTCCTTTCTTGAAAAGTTTCCACAATCTTGTTGTAGAAGCCGGCATTCAGGAATTTTATAAACATCCTTGACATCCCATTCAAAGCTACGCCATATAATTCTTCATTGGGGATGCCGTAGACGTCGCGTATAATGCATGGCATCAATGCATGCATTGTAGAAACACTGAGGGAGCCTTGTGTGAATGCAACACAGACCGTGTTTACTCTCCTGCCTTGACGGTCTGCCATCTTGTGACTTGTAGTGGTCTCTGAAAACTGCGCAGAAATCAGTTGATTCAGGAGCTACTGCGCAGCTGTCCACACAGCCCGAGAGCGATGAGGACAATAATTCTGCAAAGTACACTACCCTAGGGATACCTGAATAAGTATGAACAAGTAGTCTGGAAATTATATGAATTTTACATTAAAAAATTAAGAATAAAGATTAGCTCTTTTGGCATTTTGCCACCGGTATGTGATGTTCCCCTGAGTCTAGACAGCACCAGTGAGTGGGTAGAGGGAATGTGGAGATGTTGCAAGTATATGGGAATAGGTGGTAGTTATAAAGCTGTAAGTTTTTATGAGGATGTGAGGCTCAGGTTAGGGTGTGGTAAAGAGTAGGGGATTCATCCGGTAAAGTAGGTCTATAAAGGGAAAATGTGAATTGTTTACCTTTGTTGAATATATTTATGATGGGGTTGTAAAGAAGTAATTGCTAGGGTGTTCGGGGGGGGGGGGATTTAGGGGGGGGGAAAATTTTAAAGGGGGAAATTGGGGCGGGTTACTTTGTGTGCTGTGCTTATGGGATTAAAAAATGGGTTGGGAGATTTTGGGGAATGTGTGTAAAGGTAGAAAGTTGAAAGTGAAATAGAAAAGGTAGGTGATAGGGTATCAAAGGGATTTAGATAAAGAAAAATTGGATATCAAATTGGGGGGAGGAGTATGGAGAAGTGAATGTTTTCAGATTATTGGGAGTTGACATGTCGGCGGATGGATTTTGAAGGATGGGTTAATCATAGATTGATGAGGGAAAAAAGGCGAGTGGTGCGTTGAGGTATATGTGGAGTCAAAAAATGTTTCTATGGAAGCAAAAAAGGGGAAATGTATGAAAGTATAGTAGTACCAACACTCTTACATGGGTGGAAGCTTGGGTGGTAAATGCAGCAGGAGGAGACAGTTGGAGGCAGTGGAGATGTCCTGTCTAAGGGCAATGTGTGGTGTAAATATTATGCAGAAAATTCGGAGTGTGGAAATTAGGAAAAGGTGTGGAGTTAATAAAAGTATTAGTCAGAGGGCAGAAGGGGGGTTGTTGAGATGGTTTGGTCATTTAGAGAGGATGGATCAAAGTAGAATGACATGGAAAGCATATAAATCTATATGGGAAGGAAGGCGGGGTAGGGGTCGTCCTCGAAAGAGTTGGAGAGAGGGGGTAAAGGAGGTTTTGTGGGCGAGGGGCTTGGACTTCCCAAGCGTGGCGTGACCGTTTTAGTAGGAGTGAATGGAGACGAATGTTTACTTGGGACCTGACGATCTGTTGGAGTGTGAGCAGGGTAATATTTAGTGAAGGGATTCAGGGAAACCGGTTATTTTCATATAGGCGGACTTGCGTCCAGGAAATGGGAAGTACAATGCCTGCACTTTAAAGGAGGGGTTTGGGATATTGGCAGTTTGGAGGGATATGTTGTGTATCTTTATACGTATATGCTTCTAAGCTGTTGTATTCTGAGCACCTCTGCAAAAACAGTGATAATGTGTGAGTGTGGTGAAAGTTTTGAATGATGATGAAAGTATTTTCTTTTTGGGGATTTTCTTTCACCCTGCCTCGGTGGGAGACGGCCGACTTGTTGAAAAAAAAAAAAAAAATATTACTGTAATATACATAACCAGTTTAACACCCTTCCATAGCCAAAATAACAACAAGGCAAATAACCCGGGGCTAGTAACCCCTTCTAAATAAATTACAATGCCTTGGTGGGATATGGCCAGTGCACTGAAAAAAGAAAAACAAGACAAATAATGTAGCCACCCCATTATTATTATTATTATTTTTTTTTGTCAACAAGTGGGGGGTTTTCCACCGGGGGCAGGGTGACCCCAAAAAGAAAGAAAATCCAAAAAGAAATCTTTCATCATCATTCAAAACTTTCAACCACACTCACACATTATCACTGCTTTTGCAGAGGTGCTCAGAATACAACAGTTTTAGAAGCATATACGTATAAAGTTAAAAAACTATCCCTCCAAACTGCCATATCCCAAACCCCTCCTTTTAAAGTGCAGGCATGTACTTCCCATTTCCAGGCTCAGTCCGACTATAAGAAAATAACCGTTTCCCTGAATCCCTTCACTAAATTTTACCCTGCCACACCTCCAACAGATCGTCAGGTCCCAAGTATCATTCGTCTCCATTCACTCCTATCTAACACGCTCATGCACGCTTGCTGGAAGTCCAAGCCCCTCGCCCACAAAACCTCCTTACCCCCTCTTTCCAACCCTTTCGAGGACGACCCCTACCCCCCTTTCCTTCCCCTATAGATTTATATGCTTTCCCTGTCATTCTACTTTGATCCATTCTCTCTAAATGACCAAACCACCTCAACAACCCCTCTTCTGCCCTCTGACTAATGCTTTTATTAATCACACCTTCTCCTAATTTCCACATCCGAAAATTTTTTGCATATTATTTACACCACACATTGCCCTTAGACAGGACATCTCCACTGCCTCCAACCGTCTCCTCGCTGCTGCATTTACCACCCAAGGGTTCACATCCATATAAGAGTGTTGGTACTACTATACTTTCATACATTCCCTTCTTTGCCTCCATAGATAACGTTTTTTGACTCTCCTTCATAAATCCATTTCCGCCGACACGTCAACTCCCAAGTATCTGAAAACATTCACTTCTTCCATACTCCTCCCCAATTTGATATTCAATTTTTCTTTATCTAAATCATTTGATACCCCTACCTTACTCTTTTCTTGTTCACTTTCAACTTTTACCCTTTTCACACATTCTCAAACTCACCACTAACCTTCGGGAAATTTTTTTTTTAGAATCTCCCATAAGCACGTATCATCAGCAAAAAGTAACTGTGTCAATTCCCCTTTTGAAATTTTATTCCCCATAATTTAATCCCACCCCCCTCCTGAACACCCTAGCATTTACTTCTTTTACAACCCCCTCTATAAATATATTAAACAACCATGGGGGACTTACACATCCCTGTCTAAGACCTACTTTTACCGGGAAGTATTCTCCCTCTCTTCTACACACCCTAACCTGAGCCTGACTATCCTCATAAAAGCTCTTTACAAACATTTAGTAACTTACCACCTATTCCATAAACTTGCAAAAATCTGCCACATTGCTCCTCTATCCCCTCTATCATTATCCTTTTCTAAATCCATAAATGCAACAAAAACTTCCCTACCTTTATCTTTAAAAACTGTTCACATATATGCTTCAATGTAAACACTTGATCTACACATCCCCCACCCACTCTGAAGCCTCTTGTCAAACCGCAATTTTACATTCTGTCTTACCTCTAATTCTTTCAATTTTAACTTACCGTATACTTTTCCTGGTATACTCAGTAAACTTATTCCTCATAATTTTTACAATCTCCTTTTGTCCCTTTCCCTTTATATAAAGGGACTATACATGCTCTCCGCCAATCCCTAGGTACCTTCCCCTTTTCATACATTTATTAAACAAAAGTACCCAACCATCCAACACTATATCCCCCCCGCTTTTAACTTTCTGTCATTGATCCCATCGTTCCAGCTGCTTTACCCCCTTTCATTCTACGTAATGCCTCACGTACCTCCACCACAATTACATTCTGCTCTTCTTCACTCCTAAAAGATGGTATACCTCCCTGGCCAGTGCATGAAATTACCGCCTCCCTTTCTTCCTCAACATTTAAAAGTTCCTCAAAATATTCTCGCCATCTACCTAATACCTCCCTCTCCCCATCTACTAACTCCCTATTATTATTATTATAATAAAAAAGAAGCGCTAAGTCACAAGGGCTATGTAGCCACCCCAAGGAAGCTAAAGCCCATCAGCAGTCACAACATACACTGTAATCCCTTATTACCTACATACCAGAGAAAAGTATCACAAGGGCACCCTCTTCAGCATTCTGTTGATAGGGGGCAGTGCGAGGTAAAATATAGCGATTATGTATTTTCTCCATGTGGATTCATTTGAGCCATGGATCAGTAATTGAGCCTATACTCAAAAAGAAATTATTAACATCATTTGCAGTTTCAGTGATTCATATTGATAATTAGACTCAGTTAGAATTTCTTTGGTCTTAGTTTACTTAATACCAGAGTTTGAGTATTTTCCAGGTCTTTTACATATCTCCTTTTTCAGAGTTAAGTTTTTTGTTACTGGATCTGGTGCTGTTAGCCACTTATGGCCTATTAAGCTTCTCAGTAGATGCTTGGAATTTTTTGTAGCAAGATGTGAACATTAATGTTAATGCCTTGATCACTGAAATATTCTCTTTGCCAGTCAATTTTTCTGATAGCTATGACAGTTATTTGCCGATGGTTCAAGTATAAACACAACTTTACTTGTTTTCTTGCAGTTTTGATATAATGGTGACTAATAATGCTGGGTAATGGTCTGTCATACCTGGAGTTTACCTGGAGAGAGTTCCGGGGGTCAACGCCCCCGCGGCCCGGTCTGTGACCAGGCCTCCTGTCAGTGACAATGTTTTTTTTTTTTTTTTTGAGGATCTATTGTACTGGTTCAGATGTGGTCTAGTAGCAGCTGACTCAATAATTATAATTTTGATTTCTGAAAACTGGCATCTTGTGAGTTTTTGAATGGATGAGATTAGTGTTAAATTATCCAGCAATTATTTAGTCTCCTGTTTGTGACTAGTATGTGACTAGATCTTATCACATATGTGGCCAAAACTAGCTATGTGATCCTCAGTGACCCAAGAAGATAAGGCTGCAGAGCTGTCAGCATCCCAGCTACCAGTATTAACATCAGCTTCAGGTTTTGGAACACTGTGCCATGCTGTAAATAGAGACATTTTTTTTAAAAATATAATAAAAAAGGGGGAGTGGAACAAATTAAATTTTTAAAACACTGTTGGAGTGATTATTTGCTTAATGAATCAGGGTGAATTATATAAAGCAAGATATTGCATATCTGAAGAAATCCTTAAGCATTAAACATTTCAAAGAAAAATACATCACTTACGCTACAAGCCATGATACCATTGCAGCAATCACTCTTACAGCAAGCTGTGCAATTCCAGTCTTTCCATGGAGGTGTGGGACATGTTTCCATGTCACTGACGCTTCCACTACATTCTTCTTCTGTAGCACAGTGCATATGTTCAGAAAGTTGCCGTGGTGGACCAACTGACGAAGATGTGCCTGTATGAATCTAGTTTTAATGTGGCTTGTATATATAATGGTTACTTTATAGATAGTTACTGGATAGATAGAACTGTGATAGAGCAACCAGATATATGTACTCTAGAATAAGTTTTAATTACTGAAATATTATTTAAAATTGTTTCTATTCTCTAAAGTTTATATTTAAGTAATGCAATCCCATTGCAACCCACATTTTTTAAGTTTTACAAAACAGCTTGAAATTACATTAAAATTTGACTTGTTAAAATAAAAACTGGTGCCACACTGTAATTCACACAGAATCCTTGATGGCACAATATGCAGTAGGCTTCCCATCTCTCTCAAGTTAAACAATGAACTGTAGCTATGTATGGTACTGTACTCACTTTTCCATTTTTTTCCCCGAAGACAGTAAACTTCATCAGTACCACAAGATTCAACAGTGGCATCACATTTTCCTGTGGTCCCAGTTTGATCTTTACATACATGACACTTTAAATTCGTCACACCTGCAATGTATGAAAAAAAAATCTTTTAAAGGAGAGTATTTGGTAAATTCTACCTATCAATTGACCTCTAGAAACATACTATACCCACAGAGTTTATTATAGTCTTCCAGTGAAAAAAAAATACGAACTTCATTTTAAAGCCTTTGGCACAGACAAAAAGCTAGTGTCCAGGTGTTTCTATGAACTGTGTTGTATCCACATAGAAATCTTAAAGCACTGTATTAAAAATTCAAATCACAAGTGGTACAGTGCTGTGAAATTAGTAGCAAACACAACTGATATACTGTAGCTGTGGTGGTCAGAGGGCAGTGAGTAAGTACAAGTTTATTTAGGTGCCCCACACCTCGATTACTAGTGCACTCAGCCTACACACTGAGGTCCATGGTTTGATCCCCAGTACTGGTGGAAACACTAAGAGGTGTTTCCTTAAGACACCTGCTGTCACTGTTCACATATCAGTAAAATAGGTACCTGGGTGTTAGGTGACTGGTGTGAGTTGCATCCTGGGGACAAAATTGAACTAATTTGCCCAAAATGCTCTGCATTTTGGGCCCGGTCACAGACCGGGCCGCAGGGGCGTTGACCCCCGGAACTCTCTCCAGGTAATAACCAGGGACTTTCTATATTAGTAGTACATCACTGATGTCTGCAGGTCTGTGTACGTTGTACATGTACTTATAGAAAGACTGTTATTATTATAGGTATGCATAAGTACAATTATTATACATAGTTTAACATATGTGGAAATTACCTAGGATAATCCAAAAAAAGTCAGAGAATAACTTATTTCCACTGGGGTCCTTATGTATATCTTAATATTTAGAGCCTAACCGCAAGTTACAGTAGAAATCTGTCATGATTACTGATTGTACTGTATCTGATACTGAAGCATTGAATTCAACCTAGTTCTGCTATAAACGTATCAAGGTGCAGCAAAACTTCTATTTAACATACCATACCTCGATTTAATGTACTGTGCCTCAATTTAACTGATTTTAAACATAACAGACAAATTCTGTTGTCCAGACGAAGTTCAGAAACTACTATCAAAGGTCAATTAAATTCAGAATTGTCCATTATCATTCCAGTCCACTAGGTAAACTAATGCAGGCATACATACATACATTTTATTTATATACATAAAATGTATGTATGCATGCATTAATTTACCCAGGGGACTTTATCAATAATGGATAATTCTGAATTCAGCTGACCTTTGGTTTTTAGTTAAATAATCTACCATAATTACTTTATTATATGAACACTTAAGACCCTAATGGAAATAAGTCACTTTGTCTGACTTTTCTGGGTTATCCTTGGAAATTTACACTATGTATGATAAGATAAGAGTTCGTTCGGATTTTTAACCCCGGAGGGTTAGCCACCCAGGATAACCCAAGAAAGTCAGTGCGTCATCGAGAACTGTCTAACTTATTTCCATTGGGGTCCTTAATCTTGTCCCCCAGGATGCGACCCACACCAGTCGACTAACACCCAGGTACCTATTTGCTGCTAGGTGAACAGGACAACAGGTGTAAGGAAACGTGTCGAAATGTTTCCACCCGCCGGGAATCGAACCCGGGCCCTCCGTGTGTGAAGCGGGAGCTTTAGCCACCAGGCCACCGGGCCACCACCAGGCCACCACCAGGCCACCGGTACCTGTGCCTAAATCAGCTTACCTAAGTACTTACTAGTAAAAAAAAATACCTGCGATTAAGAATGTCCACACCAGGCCGAATACGTATATTTTATACATAGTTATAGCTTGGTTATCCTTTTTTCTTCCGAATTCTTCTGAAGATATGCACTTAAAACTTTCTTCTGATAGTACGAGAAGTGACTGAAGTGATTTTGTTGTATTCTATTCCAAACAACTGGAGACTTCAGACCCTTCACACAGTCTAGATAATGCTGGTTCACTTGTGTTACTTTATATTCAACACTTTTGTGCTAACTCGGCTGTATTATCTGTAACATTAACCTCTTGTAGGCCGTTGTTCTCTCAAAAGTCCATCCACACAATAATCTTCTCCGCGAGACAGACTCCGAGTTACCCGCGTCTACGTATCTTCACACTACACTATAATATACTTTAAAAAACATAAATACTGAAAAATACTTGAAATATTTTGCATTTTATGGGCTTTCCATAAAACTCTCAAGTTTGTGTATATATATAGTTTTTTGTGGGGAGGGGGAATATAGTATTATACCTGCCTTAAATAGTGCGTTTAATAGTAACTGGAAACTTTTTGTAGAAAACGTACGATCGGCATACTAAAACGTATGTACATAACCACAAAATATCGAAAAATACTCTTAATTACCACAAAATGCATAGAAATTAATAAAAAAATATATATACTTTAAATTTATTTACAGATGCATATTTATAGACACGTGAACATTATTTATTATTGTTATAATTATGGGGAGCGCTAAACCCGTACTATTTTACAGCGCATGTGCGGGTATAGATGCTATTCAGGCTCAGTTCAGGGAACTGGAGCACAGATCCAATTCCATAGATCAAGAGCCCCTCACCAGCGTCAAGGAACCTTCCTTGAGGGGAGAAACGTGATCAAACATGACCCAACATTTGGAAAAACTTTCGGTTCTGGGTCCTGTGGCTGTACCTGGAGAGCCTTTCGGGGGGTCAATGCCCCCGCGGCCCAGTCTGTGACCAGGCCTCGTGGACCAGGGCCTGATCAACCAGGCTGTTACTGTTGGCCGCACGTAAACTGACGTACGAATTACAGCCTGGCTTACCAAGTACTGATTTTGGGTACCTGTCCAGTGCCTTCTTGGAGACAGCCAGCGGTCTATTGGTAATCCCTATTATGTATGCTGACAGGCAGTTGAACAGTCTTGGGCCCCTGACACTGTGTTGTCTCTTAGCGTACTCACGGCTCCCCTGCTTTTCATTATATCTTATTTCTACAAGTACATGTACATGATATACAGTTGACATCAATGACATACGACTATAGAGAAAGCCACTTGTTATGCTGAACATCTCTGGCAAATTAGGTCAGTTTTTGTCCCAGGATGCGACCCACACCAGTCGACTAACACCCAGGTACCCATTTTACTGATGGGGAACATAGATAACAGGTATAAGGAAACACACCCGATGTTTGTACCCTCATTGTGTGAAGCGAGAGCTTTAGCCACCAGGCCACAGGGCACTGTGGGGGATGTTGCACCACCTGCAGAGCCTTTTGCTTTCGTGGGGAGTGATTTTCGTGTGCAAATTTGGTACCAATCCCTCTAGAATTTTCCAAGTGTATATTATTATGCATCTCTCTTGCCTGCACTCCAGGGAATACAAGACAAGGAACTTCAACCATTCCCATTAATTTATATGTTTTATTGTACTTATGTGTGCTGTGAAGGTTCTCAGTACATTCTTTAGGTCAGCAGTTTCACCTGCCATGAAAGGCACTGTTAGCGTACAGCAATATTACAGCTGAGAGAGAACAAGCGATTTGAAGAGAATCATCATGGGCTTGGCATCCCTAGTTTTGAAGGTTCTCGTTATCCATCCAATCATTTTTCTAGCATGTGATAGATAGTGTTGTGACCTTTGAAAATGAGATCCTGTGACAGTATCACTGCCAGGTCCTCCATATTAGTTTTCCTCTCTATTGTGTGATTGGAATTTGTTTTATACTCCGATATAGTTTTTATTTCCTCAAGTTCCCCATATCGGAGAAAATGTAATTTCTGTTTATTGAACTTCATATTGTTTTCTGCGGCCCATTTAATGATTTGGTTGATGTCCGATTGGAGTCTTGCCCTGTCTTCGATGTAGGACACTGTCATGCAAATTCGGGTGTCTACCCGATAAGAAGACAAGGTGTTGTGGCTTACATCTCTATTTATGTCAAACACGAGGACGAGGAACAGGATGGGGGGGGGGGGAAGAGTATTATTACTCTTTGTGCTGTTTGTTAGGAAGTTATAGAACCATCTACCAACTTTTCCTGTACGTATATTCCTTTATCATGTAATTTGTGAGCTATTTACACCATGGTCGCACTTGTCAAAGGCTTTCGCAAAGTTTGTGTATACTACATCAGTTTTTTTGTTTGTCCTCTATAGCATCCAGGACCTTGTCATAGTGGTCCAGTAGTTGGGACAAGAAGGAGCGGCCTGTCCCAACTACTGGACCACTATGACAAGGTCCTTGATTAATTCTACCATGTAAACGTAAAAAATAACAGTATAGCACAGTATGTATGTATGTATGTGTGTGCATATAGGTGTGGAAAATTGCATTTATCTGAATATATTATTATATACATAACAGAAAATGAACAAAGATAATTATTATTTATCAGTTAGACAAATAGGAATTTGGGACACCTAGGTCGCAAAAATGTCCCCCTTTGATACCTACCACTGTCATATCCACAAGTTGCTCTGGACCTATTAATTATAAATAAAAGATACATCACCAGGAATTCTGGTAAATATATAAATTTGTGGACTGTATATTAAAAATAATAAATGATTATATATAATACAGTGTATAATATATATATATATATATATATATATATATATATATAATATATAAATATAAAATATATATATAAAAATATATTATATATATATATATATATAATTATACACATTTATACAATAGAAGGAGAATATATCTTAATCATAACACTCACCAATTTGACTGGAGATTAAGTGTATCATACTCAAAAACCTCACTGTCTATCTATGAAATAACACTGGCCAGGTTACTACATAAGACTTATCTGAGGTTCCTGGAGCTGTCTTGTCCAGTCGTCTAATATCTCAAGTTATGCAGGAATGCACATCCAACAATTTCGCCTCCTATTTGAGAGGTGTCAACCCAATTTTAACCTCTAGAGCATGAAAAATTCTTTCCATTATACACAACATTTGTTACTCCAATTCAAACAAAATGGCAACTGTCCTCTTTTTAAAAATACACTTTCATTAAATACAATATAGGGCATTTACCTATAAATTACCACATTTCCGGAAAATATACAGTATTTTCCACACTGCGGCCGGGCGGAGTTCGTTGCTAAACGACTCAAATTACTCCTTCCTTTAGGAGACGATTCCAGCCGGTTCTGACTTGAGTGGCTGTTCTCCTAGTAGGTCTTACTACGATTTCATCTTCCGGCATCACTTGGTCAGCATTATCTATCATATCACTCGTGTCACTTTCCCTCAGATTTTCATTTACGTTTGTTTGAACACCAGTTAATTCCAAGGGAATCAATTTATTAATTGTGTGTAAACTTTCCTGGCCACGACACAACACTTTGACATTCCTGACAACACATTGTGCATCTGGGTACAATGTCAATACTTTGCCCAGAGGCCACAATGTTCGATGTTGTTCAGTATCAATCAACACAATGTCACCTGGTTGAATGTTCTGTCGATTTACTGCCTCTGTCGCACCATAAAAGTGTTCACGTAGTGTAAGAGGATATTCCTTACGCCACACATTAGACCAATGATCAATTACTTTATTTAACATTTTAAATTTACCACACAACACTGCCGCATCATTGTAATCTTCATCACTTTCTTCCGGATTATCTCTTTAGACAGGGGCAGCTTCCAATTTCCTTCCACATATTAGGTGAGAAGGTGTTAATACATCTGCATCAGGTGTATCACTCATGTACGAGAGAGGCCTATTATTTATACACTAACACTACACGGAATTCTTCCAAATTAATTCTCTTCGGGTGTAGTACTTTACGGAGACATCTCTTCACTGTGCCTATCAGTCTTTCGTACAGCCCCCCCTGCCAAGGGGCTCTAGGAGTAACAAATTTCCAGGTACACCCTCGTTGGGTTAACAGAGATTGAACATCGTTACTATTATTTAATTCTATCAAATGTTGAGCATCTGCTACAAAATTTGTGGCATTATCCGAAATCATCAATCTCGGACAGGATCTCCTAGCTGCAAATTTTCGAAACAGCTGTATAAACTGTTCCGCAGACAAGTCCTGTGCCACTTCTAAATGAACTGCCCTAGTAGCAGTACAGGTGAAAACAAACATACACTTTCAGTGGAACAAAATCTGAAGTACCTGTTAAAATTATTGGACCACTATAGTCTACACCTGTTACATCAAATGGTTTCACTAATTGTACATGCTCCTTTGGCAATGGTGGAGGACCTGGGTACATATTGGATCTGGCATCCACACGGCGACATATTGCCCAAGATTTAATCACCCTTTTTACACTTTGCCGTCCTTGTGGAATCCAGAAAGTTTCCCTAATGCAATTTAAGGTATCTTGTACCCCACCATACATTACATTTTTATGGGCATTTAGAACAATTAAATTTGTTAGATGATGAGTTTTGGGCAGTAAGATAGGTGTTTAGCTAATACCCAATCGCATTTTGTAATCCCTCTGCACCTAATTACTTTTTTCCTAAATACAACCCCAATTTCTTATTAGGGAACCCTTTCACAATTTTTCTTTCCATCATAAATTTAAACCATTTCCATAATTTCCTCCGTACCCTCTTTATCCAATATTCAAGAGGATTAAATACTTATATGATATATCTCTTTTTTAGAATTTTAAAAAACACCAACTTATTTACTTTGATTAGTTCGGGTAAAGAAGAATACCTATTTATATAAATGGAAGGGGGGACAAACTATTGAGCGGTGGTCACAGTAATTTAAAACGGGAGAAATAATGCCTTTTGTACAGGCCAATTAGGTTTATTTACCACCAACTCGGCCTTTAAAACCCATGATACAGCTTTTACAAATTTAGCAAAGGGAAAAACCTTGGACAAGAAATCAGGCTGATTCTCCCCCGGTATATGAAAAATGTTAACATTGCTGACCCAAACTATTTATTCTCTTGCATTGATTAATTTCGGGCCTGTTCTTACGAACAATTTTACTGTTCCATTAGAATCCAGAAAGGGATACCCTTATCAGACCAAATTACAGTATCACTAATATTTTATCTCAGCAACTTATTTCTTATATAATTACTAATTGAACCTACATAAATGGCTGTTAATTCCAAAGAGGCAAGGT